GGTTTCACAGATCAATATCAATATCCTTCATGATATGTTTTTAGAACTTAAAATTATAGTCTTTTGAATGAAATACATTTAGTTTTATAAAATATTCATTTCATGGTTCTTCCCCTCCACCATCAGTGAAAATTTTATCATGGGCTGGCACTGGCATGAAGAATGGTGTTTGAGAACTCTGCTTCTCACCGCGCCATACAGCACAGTGGAAGAGTCCAATGTTGCACAGACTCTACAAGTTGTTAGCATGGGTCTCAGGAAAGGAAACACACATTTGAGGGTCCCTTATCCTACTCTGGGCTGACTCTGGCATCACTTGCTGGAGATGACTGCCATGCAGCCAATAACTAGATTCCACTCCAAAAATTATCAGATCCAAGCTTTGCCATGGCAGCTCACTAAAGTAGTCTGTGCTCTTCCTCACTTAGAAATGATTCATCGTTGTGGGTTGTAAAGTAGGGAGAAGAAATGGGCTCTCATATAGTTTTTCTGCTCTTCTTAATCTCTTTTTCTGCATTGTCTTGGCCAAGGAGTATAAATATCTTAAATTAGTTTAAAAATCAATCTTGGCTTAATTAAAAAAAAAAGTGGGACAAACATTGACAATTTGAGTGATTCTTCAATCAACAAACATTTGCAGAGCACCTATTTTATGCTAGTTACTGTGCAAAAGGTACAGCAATTAAAGGCAAACGAACAAAGGAGAACATCAGCAAGAACAATCTGATATAAAAGAACATTATGCCAAATTGGGACCTGTTACAGACCTTCCTTTCTTTAAGGCTGAATAATATGCCACTGTGTATATATACCACATTTATTTACCCATTCATCCACTGATGGACATTTAGGTTGTTCCCATCTCTTCACTATTGTGAATAATGTGGCAACAAAATATCTTCTCAAGATCCTGCTTTTAGATTTTTTTGCATAAATATTCAGAAGTGAGATGACTGAATCATATGGTAGTTCTATTTTTAAATTTTGGAGGAAAAATATGCAGCATTAAAAAAAAAAAACAACTATACTTCCCTTTTGTCTCTGCAAAGAAGGTTGACCCTTATATCTCACTTACCACAAGATGCAATCAGTTCCTGACCTTCAGAGGGATTTCTCTACCTGTCAGGAGAAACGGTGGCCTTGCTGTAGCTTTATAAAGCCTTTTCTCCTCAGTCAAACGAGTAACTTAAGTAAGGATGGGACAGCAATGATGATACTGCTGCAAAGTACTTGCATACATGTAGCCAGGCAGTGAGCCAATGTTAATCACGGCCTCCAGCACCTGCACACCCTCAGCTGGAGGCTCAGTTGTCAAGAGAAAGTCATAGAAGGCCTGTCAGCACCTTGCCATGTGCCTTGGGACAAGGCTATCTAGGAACTGGACTGAATTCCCACATGCTACAAGGCTCACTTCTTCACATTTACAGAGTATTCAGATACTGTAGTCCAAACCACAGCACAAAAGAATCCTTCAGAACCTGGGCTAGGAGGTGGGCTGAAACAGGAACACCTCCCAGAGTTGAAAGGAGACACCTGTGTGACGCTCAGAGACATATGTGATGAGGAAGTACTTTGTTTAAACAAAGAGTACCTTCAGGGCCTGCTTTCTAACAGGCGAGGGTCTCAGGCTCATAAGGGACCCAAGCTTGAATCAGTTCTCTGCTGTGGCTTCTTAAAATTCTTAATAGCATTTTAGCAAGGAAGGATTCACACATTTTCATTTTGCACTGGGCACTAAAGTAGCCATTACTGACTACTTTCCTTACGAAAGGGGAAATGGAGACCCCAATCAAGGACCTGGAATCCTATGGGAGCACTTGAAATGGGAGAGTAAGATATAAAACGGGGAAAAGTAAAACTAAGAATAGGCTTTTACATGTTGTAAAGAAATCAAGCATTGTGTGCTAAGCCAAGAGCCCATGATTTTAATTTTCCAAGCCATTATGAAGTTTGAGACTCTAAAATGCTCACTCTACTTTATTACTTCATGGACATTACATACCCTCTTTCGGTTCCTTTAATCTGAAAGAACAGTTCCCAAAACATATACACATATAGAACCACATAAAAATGCAGTACATAGTATCAAAATCGCAGTGTTGAACCACTTTGTCTGTTCTGATTTTCACCCATATCCCAAAGGGTGAGAGATCACTTTGCTGTGTTGTGCTTGTCTTTCCTGTTACAACTTCAAATCACCACTCAATTCCTTCTTAACCACAATTTGAATTCTCCTTTTGGTGATATTTCTATCAATTTTTCTTAGTAAATATATATGTACTTTTTTTTTTCATCATTAGCACTTTGATTTTCAACCGGACCAGGCACATAACTTGTAGGGTCCAGAGCAAAATGAAAATGTAGGAGACCCCTTGTTCAAAACCTACCAAGAATTTTAAGGTGGCAACAGCAACAGCGTTAAACCAAGCATGGGCCCTTGGAAGCCGTCGGGCCTACGTGACTTCACAGGTTGATGGCTCAGAAATCTTCTCAATTTTCCTTGGCCAGAATTGGGAAATGTACCCATTCCTTGATCAATCACTGTTAAGTAAGTTGGCCGATTCAGCTTTGGAAGAAGAACATCTATCTCCCCTGGATCTGGAGATAGTTCATTTCCCCGAGTTGCATGTTGTCTGGTGGCAAGGATTCATAAGTAAAATCAGACTCCTTCTGAGTAGGTGTGGGAGCATATGGCTGCTGGAGAGACCAACAACAGTGCCTGCTCCATCATGCCCTTGACTTTGAAGTGGAGCTCTTCATTAGAAGCTCCCCTTGATGCACACTTTGGCTCTTCTGGCCTTGAAGAGCTATTCCAATCCCATTTACTTAAATCTACCTTCATTAATTCCCAGGTTCCCCTACACCTCAAGCCTCATCCCTGCTGCCAGCCTTCTCTGTAGGGATATTCAGGGATGCAAGAATATTGTTGTTGTCTCCTATTGCTTATCATGAAATTAAGAAATCAGGACTAACAGTCATTAAAATATATAAAACCTAAAAAAACAAAACAAAAATTGAAAATAAAGTTACCACTGAGCAAAACCCATAGATCAGTGTTGTGAAGTCATTAAATTATTGGTTAAAAAGTTGTATGGGACACTCAGGAAGAGTTTAGAAGAAAACCGATTTTTTTAAATGGGAAAAGTGGTCAGTGTTGGGTGGTACGAAATGCAGTATGGAGCAGGATTCTCAATCAGATAAAGCAAGTTTTGATGTAGCACAGTGAATCCTTTCTAGGAGTCAAAAAGTTTTCATGAAGAGAACAGACTGTGCAAGCGACTTCAAAATATCAGTGTTAGGAGAGGAAAAAATGCTCTGAAGCAGATGTCATTACTAAGAAATTAGATCCAATACAAAAGGCGATAGTACAGTTTCTGATAGTGTGTACAAACTGTGACTTATCACCCCTACGTTGCTTCCATTACTCCTTTCAAAGCATCTTCTTTCTTTTTCTGCAGCTATCCAAGTCCCACTCAGCCCTTACGATCAAGTTCAGAGTCTATAGTTGCAAAGAAGACTGTCTTGAACCTTACTGACTTTCCAGCACCTCTCTCCCCAGCTGACAGGGACGGAAGAAAAGAACGGTTCCTTCTCCATAACCTCAGTGCATCCTGTGAACACATTCTGTGAACTATCAACCTTGCTCTCTCTCACTCACTGGACTGTAAAGTCTTTGATGCTAGAAACTCTGCCTCCTTCTTCATAATCTCAGTGCCTTGATAACTGATGAGCATGTAAAGATGAAGTACTCAAGATGCCTACTGAAGTGCCATGCTCAGAAGATACCTAGGAACAATATCTAGTAACACTCTGTGTGCAATGGCAAAAGAATGCTCAGAATAAAATACAATAGTGTGTACAGACTGAGATATTGTTATATTATTGGTGACACTGGATTGGATGTGGGTGAACAGGAGGAGAATGTTGTCAAAGATCACTTGAGGATTCCTTGCCTCGATATCTGKAATGACATGTAATGGAACTTCCTAATCCACCCTTTGTAGAAGAGAGACAGTTGAGATTCAAATGTATAAATGGTCTCCAGCCTTCCCTCTGGGTCTGTCAGTTCCTTTATCTTGTCTCAGAGACTTTGCTCCCAGGATTTGATTTTTTATTTTTATTTTTCTGTTCTCTGATAATCTTTGAATTTCATAGTTTATTCCACTTAGGAGACAATAATGCTTCTTGAGTAAAAATGGCCACACTTCATGCATGAGTGAGATTAAGGAAGGTGGAGAATTACTCTGAGTTTATGTGAGACATGATTCAAAAATGCAATGTCAAAAATACTAGAAGGTCAGTTACACCCCTATCTCACAAGTCTGGTGAGCAAGTGCAGCACTGACTCTAAGAGATGTCTGGAAAGTGGCTTCCCAAGTGTTTTAAAAGTGCTTCTACAGGACACTAGTAAAGCTCAGGTGTTTTCGATCCTCTTAATCTGTAGTTCTGCTGTGTGGCTGTGTGGCTTTCCTCTTCCTGACAAATTTCATGTTAATTTGTAGCAGAGGGCTGTAGATGTATGTAAGGGGAACTAAAAAATAAAAAGTCTCTGCCTTGTCTTGTTTTACTAAGTTGGCCTTACTCATAATGAAGTCTTTCTCATTATTTTTCCCCTCCCCTTCCAAGCTTAAAACCGAATTTTTAACATCATTAGAAAAAAAACTTATTTCTAGTTAAGATTTCACTACACAATCACAATTTCCATATTTATTTCATTTTCCAGGTGAATGCTTAATGATAGAAATAGAGAAAAAAGTCTAAGTACATAGAAAATATTAGAAAAAACAAGATTCTAAATCTTATCGTCTTAGTTATGTCATCAGTGTAAGATAAGATTGTCACATTGAGAATAATACAATAAAACATTCAGGTAAGAACATTCACTATATGCAAATTAAAATAACTTTAAATATGTTTCTTTGTGCTCTAATTCTCAATGTCATTTCAATTAGCTTTACCTGATTAGAGAATTTTTAAAAATAAAAACTTTAAAGACATACTTTGAATCTCAATGATCTTCTGTAAAGAAGTAACAGCATTCATGTTTGGGGTTTGATGGAGAATATCTTCAGCAAGTGGCTCCAGCTGCAAGAATATGAGATAAGACTATGAGCAGAATATTATGATTTTACAGCAAGTATCAACAGAAGTAAAGCAAACCGAAGAACCTAATCCTCAGGAAAAGCTTGCTCCAAGAACTGATTAACATTTTGCTGATATCAGTACTAAAAGTGTAGCCTGTTTTATTTTCTGTTTTGCATCCATGTAATTAAATTCCAAGGGGCTTTTCTATTGGTTACAAGATTAATCTACGAAGTCCCTGAAGCAGGTGCATGTCTGTGTATTAGTCATTTAAGATATGAGTTATTTGTGTAATTTTTGTAGGTTCTTCACAAACCAAATTCCATCATGTCTGTATACGCAGCTGGGCCCTGCAAACAAAATCTCAGGGAAGTTGCAGTAGACAGAGCGAGGAGTCTATTATCCATACTTTTGCCGTGTTTTCATATCTAACCACCTCACACATTTGAACACTTAACGGTGGAAAGGCACGAGACAGCTGCTCTTATTTACCTGCCGTTGAATAAAGTAGAAGATAAAATGTTCAAGTAAAAGCAAAGGTAAAATAACTGTACAGTTTCCCTTAATTTCTACCCATAATTCATAACTCTGCTGATGTCTGACTTTACGTACAGGATAAATTCCTTTCCTGAAAATCTATCATGATCTCTGGAATTACATCGATTTTTCATGGAGGAGCTCAGCAAACATTGCTTTACAAGAAATGAAAAGGAGCTGTAAATAATTTATGGAGCTTATTTGTCAGAACCAAGTCTGATGATGCAGCACTGAAAATGCCTTGGTGATGAGCTTGGTGCATTGCAGGATCCTCACAAACAAAAGAGCCATCCAGCTATTATGACCCCCCCCCCCCAAAGCAAGGAGAAAATAGCAATAAAAGGGTTAGCAAAAGTGCAGTTTTCCTAGAAAAAGTTAATAGTCTCAAATAAAAACTGGGTGGTTCAACTATGATGTGGCATGAATGGAATTGCTGTCACTAGACGTACCAAAGCACAGACTCATCAATGCCTCTTCATCTGCAGGAAAAACTGAAAAAACTGAGGGATTACAAGTTTCCACAGCACATGTGAGTGAATCTTCCCCGCAGGGTCTCTCTGAATTGATTATTCTATACTTCAATCGTGGAATCTCAAACAATAGCACCTTTCTTCCAGATGCCGCAGGAAAACAGACTAGCTCAGGGATATTTATACATGGGTAAATTCACTAAATATAACTTTCCAGAGTGTTTTTCTTAGCTGCCAAAAAAAAAACCTTTAAAACATCAAAAGGCTTATGTTCAATGGTTTGGTGAGAGGAAAATACGCTACCACCGCTCAGTGTCAGTGAAAAGTTCTGAAATCTTAGACTCTTTAATTTTGTTAAAATCATTTTTTTTTTCAAAATATGGTATTTCAGATCATATCTTCAAGAATATGCTACCCTTCTACCACCCTCGCAATTCARAGGAACTACTGAATCATCAATCATAGGTACCTCGGAAAACTCATTTAAAAATTAAACAGGGTTCACGGAGCCACCTTGCCCATAAATAAGCTTCTCTTTCACTTATTTCTCAGCACTCAGCGAAAATGACTTTTAATAGAAATTGGGTGGGTTTTGCTAATAAAATATTTTGAAGCATCCCTATTCAGATTTTTAAGAATACAAGCTCAAGGTGATGTCAGCATATTTAGTTCTTCATGAGTGTCTCTGTGACTTCAGATTTAAAAAAAAAATGACAATAAATTGAAAGGTGCTGGCCAGTGGAAAGAGTGTTACAGGCAGATCACCAATGCAAAAACTGATTTCTGGAATTGTCCCACACTGAGGTCTATATAACCTGGTTCTATAGAAAGTATATGTGGTTCAAGTGCTCAGAGTAAAAATACATATACCCCTAAACCCACAATTTGGAATTTTCAGTGAGATATGATAAAGTTGTGTCAACTTACAAAAGCATACCAGAGAATTATGACAATTAAATTGATCATTTAAGCTTCCCAAAGCATTTCCCTGTATGTTTTAAGTGAATGTCACTTAGAGGATTAAACCTTCAGTAAATTGTCCCAATTTGTTTCATTTGGGGTGTATATGCACAGACAGTGCTGAATTCAGAAAGTTCTCAGTGTAGGTTCTTTATTTTTCCTCTGGTAGCTCTGCAAAGGAGGCAATTGGTAATATTCTGTCCTTTGGCAAGAAAGGAAACAGTATTTAGAGTCTGTTTTCATAAAAATTAAAACTTTGTATGGAAGGACCACAGAATCAAGTTGTTTTTTAGAGAGCTTGTTGACTTAGTTACTCATATTTATAAGTATTAAAACCATGAATTGAAGCACCTATTTGATAAATATTTATGAGTTTGGTTTTTAGTAGTAATCTAATAAGTATAAAATAAAATAATATTAAATAAATGGTTATTTTTTATAATTTTGGAGCAAAAAATGAGAATATACACTAAAGCTATGTGATGTATTTAGTTGGGGCAATAAACAGCAAAAATATTGGCAATTGAGGCTAATCAGAATTATTAAAAGATAAATAAGGAAGAAATTTATGCAAAGCAAAAAACTTTTGCATGCAAAAGGTTACAGTAAGATAAAACAGATGCAATGTAAGAAATATTACGCAACCATTATGCTATCTCTGTGGAGCAATTCCAATAAGTAATAGTAATTATCATGGAATTAAGATACACTAGATACAACCTCTAGACACACAAATCTCTCATTCAGCTTTGCTATATGTAAAGCTAATCACAACTGTTACTTACAGCCATTCTTCATATAGAGTTGAGAATCTCAGCTAAATGATAGGAAATTTATTTTTCTTCATCTTTATAGAAAGATGAGATATTCTATGGACAGGACTCAGATGTTTGTTCAGTTGTGCATACCGTGTGACTCTAAGTACTCTAGCTATTTTAAARCACCATAAAAATTGTGGTCATTATCATTTTCAGGTTCTTTAGAATAAGATCATCTAAATCATGAAAAGTATTTTCCGTTGGTCAGGATCCATCTGTGGAAAGAAGCAAAGCTTATCCTTGGAGAAGCTCTTGATTAAGAATTTTAAAACACTCTGTGCTCGTGAGACATAAAAATCAGCTCACTGTTATTTTCATGATTCAAAACAGAACAAGAGAAGCTAAACAGAGCCCTTGTGAATGTAACAGGTACATAAGGATGAATGCATTCATTAAGCAAGTAAAGGATCTATTAAATATTCTTGTAAGCTTTCATGTTACATTCTGATATTTCCCTAATATCCCAAATGTTTTCATACTTCTATGCTTTTATCGATTCTGTTCCTTCTGACTTCTTTTTCTCTACCCTTCACTGAATCAGCAAAACTGCTAATCATTCAAGGACCAGCACAAATATTGTCTGCTTCTCAAATTCTCTGATAGAACAAATTATTTCCACCTCTGTGGCATCTCTCCTGACCAATACTCTTGTTTCCTATGCACATTATATCACAGCCACATTTACCATTCTCTACTCTGTTGTGAGCCATTTAAAGACTAAAATAGAGCTTGATATATGGTAGGCATTAAAGAAAAAAAAGGTGGAACAAATGAAGGAGGGATTAATTGAAAACAAACATGAAGATGTGGTCTTCATTCACTCTCTGTAACTGACAAACCTGAGTGAAATATATTTTTCTTCTTGGATGCCAGCTGTGACCAAGGGATGGTTTTAAGGTGACAGACCAGAAAAACAACAGTGACAATCATTTTGTTCTCTTAGAAAACCGTGCCCAAGTTTGAGACAGTTCCTCTCCCCTGTGTGTGTTGGCAGGGTTGCCTGATGTGGAGACAGGTACTTCTCCAGAAAATATGCAAGAAAATGGAAAAGAAACCAAGACCCAGAGCAAGGAGATGCAGAATGGAAATGCCAGTGGATAACAGAGGAAAATAATCACTCCAAACTGGAAAGGAATAGAAAGCCATAACATGGATGCAAAATTAAATGAGACTTTAAAAGGCATTGAGATTAGTCCAGTTTGGGGGTAATTAGGGTCTCCACAGTACCTAGACTTTCAACCCCCACACATGGTATATTCTTTACATTTAGTCAGATTTTTGGTAATTTCTCTGAAAATAACTTACAGTGTGTCATACATAGGGTCACATTTTTGATAGATTTATGTTGTCTACATGTTATGTTTTGATGATTTTGCAAATTATGTGTGTGTATGTAATTTTATTTAGGAAAACTTTCTGAAGATAATCTTAGACTTGTAAAGGTTTACGAAGATAGTGCCAAATACCCATATAAGGAGAAACAGGAAACTTCATCCAGTTTCCCTTAATGATAATAGGTTACAGAAAGTCGATACATTCTTAACTTTATTTTCTACTGTTATGGATGGTATAAAATATACATAACTTATTTTTATGTGATATTCTGAACGATTTTTGAATTTTCATTGACTTCAGTTGACTAATAACCTTGTAAACTTACATATTAATTTGTAATTTAAATAGAAATAAGTTTTATAGATTTTCTACATACCTAATCATACATAATATGTGAATGAGATTTATTTATTCCTCTCCAATCTTATTTGAATAGGTTCTCTTTTACTTACCCTATTGTACTACCTAGGATTCACATTGAAATGCTGAAATGAAGCAGTAAGAGTACATGTATCATTTGTTTCTTATAAAAGTTTTCATATTTTACCATCACAGCATTGTACATAAAACTCCAAAACTTGAAAAATATTTCCACATSCATCAAAGTTAGAATATATAAATAATCTATAGCATTTTACTAAAAATTATTTTTATGAAACTATACACAAATTATTTTTATGAAACATTATACAATGAAAAACAAAGTGTAGCTAGCTGCAACAAAAGAAATCAATATTTCAAACAAAATGTTGGAGCAAAAGGTGTTAGATTCAAAGAAATACATGATATATGGTTTTATTACACAAAGTTCAAAAACAAGCAAATGAAACACAGTGTTAGAAATCAGAAAATAGACCCCTTATAGTATGAGATGGGGTACTGA